ATAAAGTATGTCTCAAAATGATACAAACTTTATTTTATTTTTTTATTCAAAATCTCTATTTCTCAGTACAATCCAATTGTATATGCACGATCCACGGTTTGATAAATTTTGTTTTGGTATATTCCAAATTTATTATTTTCTGACAATGAAGCTTACATTATTCTGAAATGTAAGAATAATATAATGTTAAAAATTAAATTGTAAGTTGTTAAACGAACATACTTTTGTGTTCTTAATCTTCTTCTTCTCCTGATTCAGATTCTTCCTCGGCGTTTTGTAACCATTCGATGAATTTCTTCATTTGATCCAAAAACATCATTTTTCCCTTCACTGAATGGCCTTCTTTGTACCATTTCAAAATTACTTCTTCTGATATTATGTCCGCTGAAATAACACATTAATAAATAAGAGAGAACAGATGAAAATCTTTTCAACATGTAACTAACATACTTTTATAAAATAGTAGAACAATTTTCTGGAAGACTTTCATGAAGTTCATGTTCTCGTAACAAAATTCCTGGACCTTGAGGAGAAGCGCGAGCTCAGATCTGGCAGTGTTTGTAAAAGCATCGAATAGTGCAGTGTACACCTTTAAGTGTTTTAACGCTTGATCGGCTACTAACTCTTCTTTTTTGTTCCATTCAGCTTGACCCATCACGACAGCCCAAATCTGCGGATTCCAACGTTTTCGTTCGATTCAAATATATTGTAAAGTAAATAAATGCTAATAATTAGCGAGATATAATTACCAGGCCAATAACTTCGTGTTCAGGGAGGCAACTTCTCTGTGCCACATCCTTGAGATCAAGTATAATGTCTTTCATTGGACGACCATCGGCCAAATCGTCTAACAATAATTGTTGCAAATCTCGTTTCGCCTCTTGGCTTGCCTGAGCTTTATGTAATTTTACAATGTCCGCAAGACCGACAGTCTCAAACACAGATCGAAAATACTCTTCAGTTCGTTTGTTAGGCGGTACAAATTCCATTAACCTATTGAATTACAAACAGAGGAATGAACAGATATAAGACAATTACTATTAATATGAAGATAATACATATTGTAGAATGACCAATTATTTTCGTACCTTCCTTCAATATTGCCTTTTTTCAATGCAGTCATCAAACTTGATAAACCTTTCTCCTGTCTCCAAGTGACGAAAACTTCTAATAAAAAGTCTAGTGCTAAGTTATCCTTAACAAGATGCTCGTTAATTAAGACTGATAAAACAGTGGGTGGAACAGAACCATTAGATATCCATAGAGCTGTCATTCTAGCTAATTTTGTTCTTTCTTTCGGGGTAAAACCTTTCATAAAAACCAATACTTTTTTCATTTCTTCTTCAAACATTTTCTCCAAGTATTTATAGCGTCTCATAAGTTTAATGAAAACCTACAAATTGTTCGAATTATTTAGTAAAGAATACATCGAAGTTCTAAATGTTAGTAGGAGACAATGTATTACTTGTTCAAAATTTCGCATAGATTCCATGTCTTCTGGTTGTTCAAAAACACAAGCAGTGGTTTTGACTGGTTTATCACCATCTTGAGCAATAGAACCGCCTGGAATCAAAAGTCCACCAGCTATTAAGATGTCAAATAGGTCCTCCCCATATCGGCGGTAATCTAATTTAGATCCAGCTGCATCCAAGTACTTTGAAATTGCATCTAAGTCATTCCCAGCTTTCTCCAAACCAAGTAGAATTGCATCTCTAAATCCCATAGGGTCATATTTTTCTTTTTCATCTATGAAACATTAACATTGAATTTAATTCCTGTAATAAGTGATTTTCAAATAACTATGTTTTTTCACAGCGTACCTCTCTTTCTGGTCTTTATTCGTTGACCCGATAATATTGGTTTTTCAATTTTTTGACTCATACAATAACCTTTCTGAAACAACAAAGGCTATAATGAATACATTTTTCAATACTTTCAGTAAATCTAATTCTGACAACAATTAGCCAAGGCACAGAATATTATTTGCTCTTTATATTATCTTAATTACATAAAATAAGGAAAATTATTCTCATCTTACGCACAGCTAGCCACAAATTTAATTTTTTGTCAAAAATATATCTAAATCAAAATAAAAATGTAATGAAGACAAAGAAGGAAATTACAACGCGACCATAATGAACTACCGTTTGACTTTAAATCTGTTGGCACTTCTTTGACAAATGGCGACTTTCATTAAATATATTTGATTACGTCAAAATTCCGACATATAAATCACCTTTGGGGACGATTATTAATATAAAAATTGATGCGTAAGGTGTACATTTCAATTAAAATATTATTTCTAAGGTTAAGGTCATATAATGAGACCACGATGGCTGAAATTTGTTGAAAACTTGGACCCTTCACAATCGAACTGATCCTCTAACAACGAACCCGAAATTGCTCAGAAATTTAATAAAATTGGAACTGTTAACTTACTTAGATGCACGTACAACTGTAGAATTACCCTTTTTCAGGTGTATAAGGGAGATACGAAATATCTCAAAGAGGATTTTGAGCACTTGAGGTCAGCGAAATCGAAGAGAATCAACCTAAGGAGAAGCCACAATTGACAGGGAATAGATAGCGTACTCAAATCAGCATTGCAGCGACCATTTTCGCGCCACCTATTGGGTCACTGGTTCACGTTTATGTTAGGCCAGTTCCTTTTACTTTCTTGGGTTAGTTAGTATTTTACTTCGAATATTTTGTAATCCTTTGCATAATATATGTGTCTTGTATTTTGGAATAATATATAATGTAATAAATTGCAAAGTTGTAGAGTTATAATTTGAAATTTCTGTTGTCATGCTCATGCCTAGGGTATTTGTCTACAAGCGTTCCATCTCGCGATCGGCTTCCTGCATTTCCAGAAAGAAGAGGCGCGTGTCGAGTGATGCCAGTATGTGCATGTGTGTGTGCTGAGTGTCAGGTAAGCGAATTTTAAATTCATTCCTGGAGGCTCGGAGTCTTGGAATCTTCGACGCGTTGGACTCATTTGGTTCACCTCAAATTACTAATTTTGGTTTCAAGCCATCTACAACTGGTAAGACCTGAGCTACAATTTTTTCTAAATATCATTTTCTTGAACTGGTATTTTTATGTAAAAGAAAAACTTATTTCAACCGTGAATATTGAGAAAGAAAGATGATATGTATGCTGAAAGAGGCAAACTATGATAAAACAAACAAACTTAAAGGAAATAATTGAAACTAAATCGAGTCACAAATCACAATATTTTAAACATTTATTTGCAAGTAATTAAATGTCATTATTTCGATTGTATCAATAGTAACAAGTACTCGTTACGCTTTTTGTTTTACGTGAATTTGTAACACATAATAAAGTTGCAAAGACACTGTATGGACACTAAGCAAACGGTCGTTTGTCTTTCATTTAAATTCTAGAAAAAAAGAAATATATTTTTGCTGCTTAAATAGCAACCAGTAAATATCATATGTTTCACTTTTCTCTGTTACTATGATTTAACCATGTTACAGAAATTCTTGTTATATCTGATAAAATTTAAATAGCTGACACAATTATTCATTCTTAAAAAGGCACAAGTTTTCCTTCCCTTACCGTGACAAAAATTTTCGTTCACCCTCCGGTTCAATCACTACATTCAGTATTTACTTTCCATTGTTTGCAAAAGCGTTCGCTGCAATAGAAAGTAGGCAAAGAGAATTTCTTTTATTTGCAAGATAATTTTTTCAGCGGGAATATATTTTCATTGATTATAATACGTTTTTGCATATTCTTATGTAAAAATATATGTACACATACAAAATATCGTGAATGTAATCAGAGGGCTGTTCAAGTGACGAAACCGCGCATGTTTTACGGTCAAGACATCGGAACGAAATGCACAGACCAGAAATTAACTACTGTACTCGTACAATCGTTCTTCAAAAGTAGTTCACGGTAGTTGATATAAAAACAAGTTGGAAAAAAAATAGCGATATGATAATCTGCAAATACTACGAGGTTGCGTTTATTGTCAGTAGACACTATAGGCGACGTGAAATAAATCAACGTGAAATAATGAACTGCCTGCCTTGTATCATTATGATTCGCATAATTATCGTATCTGAGCCTCGAACAGTTTGGCAAAAACATCTACTAGTCGTACTTTCATCTTTATTATCGAACTCTCTTTCTCTGAAAAGAATTATAGATCTCTTTTTTATATTCCGCTTGCTCATCGTTTCGTATGATAAAACTTCTTTCTAATAAGACGTTATGACCATTAATATTCGTGTCGAGATCGTTCGATAAAACTGATCTTAATGAAATAACGCACGCTTGATGCAAGTCTCGAATTTTGATCGGAAACCGAAAATTTGAGATCGTATATAAGCGAAAATGAAAAGAATTCTTCATTATCAAATATATATTTCGTGTTAGGTAAAAATTGAAAAGGTAGACAGAGTTTCAAAGCTAAAAGAAATCGAAGAGTACTAACTCGATCGTACAATATTTAATCACAGAAAAATAGACAATTCTTCGCATTTTCTTTTCAATTTAAACAATATTGTTTACCAAGATTCATTTATATAAACTCTCCTTATCACTGCTCATTGTCAACGGAACTTCCGCTTCCATAAGGCGCTCCAAAGTTGGTTTCATACCATATACCAAGGAAATCGTTATCGAGTGTGGTTTTTCGTTCAGCCAGCTTTTTGGACCATAATGTTTGAATTCCCATACGTGTCCCATGAGGAGCTCGAATCATAAAACAATTTTGTTGTAGAAACTGAAACACCGATTCCAAATTGGTTTGCATCATCTTTTCGATTTCATTTCCACGATCTTGATTCCTCACTGACCCATTGTCCATTAAGCGAGCGGACGAGTTAAGGCTTATCGTTAAACGCGTGTGTCGTTTGTGCTCGTTGTGCGAACGCAGCGATCGATTGAGTAATTCAGCTATTTTTGTTTATCTTTCTTTTCGTTTACGGTGTGTGCAAGTCGACATCTTCTTGCTTGGCCTTGGGCGCGATCTTCTCGTTGCTGCCAGATTCTTTAACAGCGATGTGGACGTCAGCCACCTCCACGGCTGGTGGAACCGCTGGATTTACCGATCGATCTTCATCCGCGATGACGAAACCGATCGTTGCTCCGATTTTTTGACTCGCCTGCCTGAACGAGTCTGATAGCATCACCTGTCGCAAATCGATTATTTTAAGTCGCTTACAAATTGATTTTAAATAGGCGTATCTACTTGTGGCGTAAACTTATATTATTATAAATGAGCACTCGATGCATCATTGTACACCATCATTCATAAATCTTAAGACGCATTGTTTATCGTTAACACTTAGTGTTTATCAAAAGATCTGACTATGCGGAAACGTCTTACCTGCACGACGTTGATGCACATGGACGTCAGAGCCAGGCCAAACACCAGGTATATTATCGAACACATCATGTATATGGGGTGCTAGATCAACGAACCAATTTGTTAATTTACGCTCGTGTATTCTTTCATCGGGCGGGTTTTTAAATTTCGTTAATAAAACACGTGCAACTGTGCTGAAGTGTGATTTACGCGAAAAGCACGTACGAAATAGTGTATGTACGATGGTGAAGAACAGTTTTTATTGTTTGTCTGTTTAGTTGATGAAGTTTTTGATTTTCAAAGCTTACCATCTGCACGCCACCGTGAAAGAAAGAAGCAAGAAAATAAGTTAATTACACGTCATGGAGATAACTTAAGGGAGAATTCTCTTTTCTTACAACTGGAAACGTTCCATTAAATAGATATGTTAACAGCAATGTATAAAAAGTCGACGTTGTATAGAATATGTCTATACCGCTTTTGATACATTGCCGGTAACGGATATAATACCAAAAATATCGCCAGTATTAATTCTTTCCGGTTTAGAGTCTGATCCTGCCGAACGATAAAATAAATGCTAATTGCAAATGAAAAGATCGGAGGATATAATTTAAATAGAGAAACATTCTATGAATTTAACACTAGAAACAAAATCAATTTTTTCCGGTTTAAAATCTGATTCTGCTGGAATACAAAGGAAATGCTAATTGCAAATGAAGATCGAAGGATGTACATTATATTTTAAAAAGAGAAATATTCTGTAAAAGTATTCAAACTGTACTGAAAAATATTATCAGTTAGAATCGCAGAAACGAATGAAGCATGATAGATAATTGTAAAAAATTGAAATTGGCATTGAAGAAGATAAAAAGTCACCTTTGGCACGTAATCACCGAAGCCAATTGTGCTCATGGATATGAAGACGAAGTAGAAGCTCTCGAAGAAACCCCAGCCTTCCGATAAGCAGAACAGCGTGGCTCCAACGAAGATGTAACCGAGTAGAATGAAAATCGCCACCGAAATCGGCAGATTGAATTCGTCGTCGATGGCAAACGCAGACATAGCCGGCGTCACTGGTGTGTCGGGTACGTTACCATCTAAATTCAACACCGTTTGCGATTGCTGGGCCTGCTTTTGCATCTCTTCGATATCCTCTGGGTTTATCTGTGAGGGCCTCTTGAACGTTGCCAGATCGTAAACCAGTTGCACGCCTTTCATCACTTCCTGTTTCATCAAAAGATTAATCAGTCTCAATACGAGGCACTTCAAATAAATTAACATGCGGGGAATAGTGAAGATAGATTCCATTTAAAAAATGCCTTGGTATCATACAACTTTTGTTTGAAACATTTCTTATAAATATGATTATTTTTAATCAAATCAAATTGATTTCAGTTATGTACTTCACCATGTAATATAAAGAAAGAATAGAAATGAAATGTGCAATATAAGTTCGAGTAGATATGTTACCTGAACAGGTACAGTTCCGCGGACTTTCCGGCAACTTCCGGTATAATAGACCCTCCTCACGAACGCCCAGAGGAACTTGATACCGCGCGTGAATAATTTACCAAAATCGGCGAGTATTATCAGAAACATCGGTATTCCGAAGATAGCGTAAACTATTGTGATCGCCCTTCCGGTGTTGGTGCTCGGTGAAATGTGGCCGTATCCTAAAAATAACACGGAAACATCTTCAATCGTGATATATTCTCGTTAGAATTGTTACATGATTCACTTTCAGCTATCAAAATTCGACTTTTAAACATTCGAACTCCCGTTCGAATTCATATATTTCTATGGGCAAAAATAACTTCGCAGATACCTGCTAAATACGCCGTGACATTCGGTCTAACTTTAGCTATTTCAGTAGTACAATTTGGCGGTTGTTTGCTCATATAACGAAAATTACAATGCGCTGAAAAGATTGGATTTAATTAAGTCGTCAAAGGATTAATTTCGGGACTTCAGTAAAAAGGACCAAAGCAATTATTAGGTAATTTTATACTATAATTAACTTCATTTCTAATTAAGTAATTAAGGTCAATTTAAATGCAATTGATGATTTTTCATTGTGACATAATAGGTTGCAGATTTTTATAAAATATTCGTGGTATCAATTTAAAAAATTAATTATTAATAGACTTCTTTTTTATGAAAAATAATGTACATTATTTTGTTTATATTTTATTAAGTTTTAGAGAAATCTGAGATCAATGGGTAATGAAATATAAAATGAATCGTTAGTGTGTGAAGGTGTGGAGGGATGAATGATTAATTATATTCAAGGTGTAAACCAAGTGCTATTCTTTGGCCGAAAAGGCTAGAAGTAATAAATACTATAATACATTTGTTTGTCATATAAACATTGTAATAGGCACTCATCTTTTAGTACTTTATATATTTTTGAGAACAAATGTTCTTCCTATTCATTGCTGATTTTTCTATAAATGCACAAAATCCACTGTCTAGTAAGAAAGAAAGAGTTCATTCAGTAACAGTATCTGCTGCTGGACTAAGGAAAAGGATTCGTGTACGAATCGAAATATTTTTATATTCAAACTACCGCAAAGAAAAGCTGTTAAAACTTCTAAAAATTGTGTACACAGGTATTGAAACGCGTGCGCACGTTTGACAGCTGGAGAGTAGCACATAATCTGCTATGCTACCAACTGTATCTACAAGTTGGAAAATCAATACAGAACTCGTAAATCGTTTTCCAACAACTGACTCGGTAAATCGTTTTTCATTTTTCTCGTGATATTCAAATGATTTTTTGCAAATTACTTTATACGTCAAAATAAACTTTGAGTAAAAACAAGGTTTTCCGGAAACGAAGTTTAAACCATCTATTATCAGTGATCGAGATAGATATCCCGATTTCCTCACCGATGGTAGTTATAACGGTCAGACAGTAAACAACCGCGTTCAAGAAGGTCCAACTTCTCTGCCCGCTATACGTATGCACTCCTGCTTCATGAGCCGTGTGCAGTTGCTCTTCGAATTCCATCAACTTTCGACGAGCCATGCTTTTCCAGTCCTCCTCCTTCAAATTGTGACTGTAGTTCCACAAATTATCGAGAAAATCACGTTTTACTCGCTTGACACCGCACTTGTAAAACGATTCGAACGCTCCCTCGGTGAATCGGAAGACGAACGCGCCAAGGCCGCAATAGATTATGACTAACATCAATTCTGACATGCAACGGTTCCTTAATCCTCTCACGATTTCCGCCTCCTTCGGATTCTGTGCGACGAACGCTTTAAACTCAGCGATAACATCTCTCATCGCTCGTAAGAAGTCGATGAAAGTGACTTTCTTCTGGTCGTCCATTTCCTTGAACGTAACTTCCGATTTCGTGAAATCGTCAATTTTACTTGGTTCCTGACTCTGTTCTTCTAACTTGTCCTCTTTCCTCTTACGAAAGAACGGCAACCAGGAGAACCAGGATTTCTTCGTCTCATATTCTTTTAACTTCTCGATAGACTCCTCGACGGCCTCTTGTTCGCTCTGTGTGAGAATAGTGCTGAATTTTCGTCTTCTCAATACGGTCTCATCTTCTGCGTCTTTGAACACATCTGGCGTATCAGGGTCGAGGATGCTCTGCTCCCTTTTCAGGTATTCTCTTTGCGCCTTGGCGAAGTCCTGTATAAGACTGTCATTGCTCAGGGGTATAATTTGTTTCTTTACATCCGTAGAGTATCTTCTCGTAATTTCTTGAGTAATTTGCCTGGGGAAAGACTCGCTCTTCTTCATTTTCTGCTCCTCGTCGGTATCATCGATTGGACTATACGTTTTGGAGTGTCCTTCTGGTCTCGTTTGATTGTCTGTTACCTCCAGTTTCTGTTTAGTTGACTTCTTTTCTCGCGGCGGTTTTTCGACGACCTCTTTCGTCGCGTCAGGATCGGTAATTTTCTTTGTTGAACTCTTCTTTGTTCTAGGCTTGCTCACTTCCGGTGATTTGGTCCTCCTAGGACGTTTGTCCATTTCCTCCGTATCACTGGAATCAGTAGAATGATGCCTTTCCGCCCGTTCCCTCGATTTCTTCTTCAATCGCCTCTCAACCTTCCGCGGTTCCACCCGTGGTTGATCGACATCGACTTCCTTTGACTTAGGAGCATCTTGATGTTTCTCATCACTCTTAGTCACTTCTTTCACCGGACTTCCGTTATCCGTTTTGTATACCACCTCCGTTTTTACCGACAGTGCTGTGGTCTCACCTTCAACGTCATTCTCACGTGCTTGCGTCTCTTTTAACGGAGAACTCTTCTTTTCTTCGAATCTCGCCGGGCTCTTTTTCTTCTTTTCTTCCACTTTAAGTTGCGGCTCTTCTGATTTCGTTCTCTTTTCCCTTTCTTCTAATTCCGTTTTCTCGGCATCGGCAGCCATCTGTTCCATTCTTGCTCGCATAGACCCTTCTTCATCCTCCGATGTCTCCACTAGCTGGTTCCTCGCGGACGGTTCCGGCGTCTTTTCGCGCCTCCTGGCCGCAGCCTTGCGACGCCTGTGCACCGTGTAGCTGTCCTCCATCGCCGGGAAACAGATTGAAACGCCGTACAAGGAAGAACTGGCCGGCAACGGGGACAGACACACGGTTGGAGAACGCCGCGGAAACTACACTCACGTATCCGTCTGGTCCCGGTGCAGAGGGACACCGAGACAGAAATAAAACAGAGGCTGCTCCCACCACCGGACAATCGGACGTTATGTACCGAGAGGAACCAGATGGTTTTGCCGCAGCGGGTATCGAGCGAGGGCGCCGCGCGAATCACGCGCAACGCTTTTCGACGACGCTCCGGCGTCGCGGTGCCGACCCTGCAGCACTGCAATGAACGGTCTGTCGGACGACCGAACCTGCAACCAGTCGTACCGCCACCCTCCGGCGGACGTTATGCGGCTCCGGTTCGATTGACGTCACGCGATTTCCTGATTCTATTACTGCCACCGAAGAAAAATGGCAAAAAGGATAAATGATGATTTTCGTACAGAGAAAAGAATTTTTACGCTTTTCTTGTTCCCCAGGCTATCAGTTTACTTGAGGCTCTCCAAATTTAGTTTAACCGAAATCGATCAATTGCAATCGATATAAAAGAAAATTGTTCCTTGCAACGAAAATGTTCTCAGGAAAGTCTTTCATAGATTTTCTAAATAATAAAATAAAGACATGAGAAAATGTTTGTATACTCAATTAAAATTGCCATTCTTTATGTAAATGAAAACCTATTTAAATTAACTATATGCACATAACGCGATTAATAATTGTAATACATAAAATTGTATGGAACATCTTGTATTATTCAAACTTTCTGTTAATGTTGTTGTAGTTATAAGCTAATATAATATGCTAAAGTAATGAGACATGTTCTAAAGTTTGCTAATAAATAAGTGTAATGATAGTAAACTCGCATACAAAATTTCGAGGGAATTGAGAAGCTATTAACAACGATATTTATTATAATTTTAGCCTTATCGGCCAGAGTAGGACATGGTTTACACTTCAGAAAACCTATTTGTTCATTTCACTGCACGTTCATACACGAACAATACATTCCAACACTTCAAATACCAAATAATTATATTCAGAACATAAAATCAGAGAATGTTAGAGCACGTGTAGCTTTTTGTGGAAATAGTATAGCCAGAACACCCTTAATCGGATGCTTATATCAAAAGGATATATCATTCTGTCGTGATAAAAAAGATGAATTTATCTGAAGGATTCTAATGTCATTCACTATCATACATCTTCCCTCTTATTTCGTATATTTTTTTTGTTGGATTTTGGATTTGTCGAAAGCGTAGCAATGTAGAAATCTTTAATACTTTATACTGTTTCGTTTGCTATTGGTGTTTGAATATATATAAGCCGTAGATGGTATCGTAGACTGAAGATCCCATCATTTTGAGTTTCGTGATCCAATGCGATTTCAGAGCAAATTGGGGTAAGATATGATTGGTATGCTCTTCGGTATGTATTTTAGGATGATATAAGGGGGTTGTTTGAAGGGTAGATAGAGATTTATGAGAGGTTTAATGCTCAGATAAACGAGGAGAAATTACTAAAGAATGGCAGCGTTATGGCACTTTGTGTGTAACGAAAAAGTATGCAAATTTTAATGCCGTTTATAACATTGTTAGCGAAGTGAGAAATAAAAATCACTATCATACTTTGTGTTTTAACTCCAGTTGCCAGATACAAGAAAGGGCCTATAGAATTTTCTTCTAATTCCACCAAAAAGAACGATGTCTGTATTTTGAGCCTCATTGGGCTGAAAGACTAGCAGGTTGGGAAAGCGTTTATTTTGCGACTATTGTTCGTTGTTCGACGGAATTTAGGATGGCGTAAATCTGAATACACATTAAAATTAGGATAGTGTAAGTTGATATACTAAGTCTAAGACATTGCACTTTCGGACGAAAAATAATCTTAGTGATTTAAATTTCGAGCAAAATATACAACTGATAGTAATAAGAATGACGAAGATTTTTATATTTCCTTTGAATGTTTATACATACTAAATATATTACTTTAGAATGTAGTCACGGAGTATTTCCAATCTTCATTTAAATGATTGAGTTATTAATTAGATTTCTGAATATAAAGAATATAGGGTAAGAGTAAAGGGAAGCGGTTGGTTTTTTTTTTAGCGAATACCACTGAATAGCGGGCTTCAAGCCTGCACGTAAAATTCAGCGATGCATAGGTACTACATAACGCCTGACGTCCAATGAAGATATTAATCAAATTAAGGAAATGCACGGCTGCAAAATCATATTTAAATTCTTTATCGAAGTAGCAGATATATAATGATACATGATAGCATAGTTTAAGTTTATAGCTTATACATCTTTAACAGGCATAGCAGAACAATTTAGGTCCCTTCCAGTTTATCTTAAGAAAGACTAAGCTTACGTCGGATAATATAAAAAAATGTGCTTTATGATCTTTAAAACTTTTTCTTTCGAACTTTCATGATATTATACTTCCGAAGACTCTTCAGCTGAATATTGGCTTTTAAAATTTTGCTATCGTTTTAGTCTAAGAATATAAAGTGTAATCCCAGTAATCTTTGTATAATAAACGACCTAAGTTATCATTATATAACATCTTCTACATACATTTTGTATTAATTTTGATCCTCAATTTGATAAGGTAGCGAATAAATTTTCCTGGATTCCCTTTTAGCAAAAATCCCATTTCTCAATCGATGTCAATTGCGAAAGTTCTAGTTTATATAATTAATTACAAATGATTTTCTTCTGTATTTATCAGAGAAATTATATTCGGCTAATTATTTCATGATTTATCAGCATCATTCGATGGCACACTTTATTAACGCGGTGTTCTCTCAACTTCCCTCAATGATGCTGTGTAACAACTGCTATTTGCTCGCCGAGAATATTTCTGAAAGCAATTACATACCGCCCCATTTGTTGTTAAAAGCCTGTAAAATCGGGATTCCTTGCACTCCCTTTACGATTGTCCGTACAACAAAATGTAATTTCTGTTAACACGATTTCATCTCGAGATTTACAGACGCATGTGCAAGATTGGAGTCAGATTAAATGACACGGTGCAAGATTAAATCGCGTACGTAATAATTTTAATCCCACGATTATGAAAAAAATTGAATGAAACCTCCATTTCTTCTTCTATGTAAAAAATTCCTTGTTACTCGCTGTTTTTATCGCTTTTCTGCCAGTTTCAGCACCGCTTTACGTGATTCGATGCAAAGAAAAAATAGAATGAAATGGGGACATGCATTTTCGTTCAGAAATTGACGCAGCAGGTGTTTAATCTGTTAGCCAGCTTCTGTTCTCCTATGTATATTGTGCTAGTTCCTGGTAACGAACTCTCCATTTGAGAAAATCGATTCAGTGTTTGCTGCTTTCAATGCTCTTCATCGATTTAATTGTTCTTATTTTCCCTTATCAAGTTCCACGGAGTGACTTTATCTTTTCTCACTTCCTATTCTCGTCTTTTATTCAGCATGCATATTCTATTCCTTTGATTCTCTGTTCTACTTTATTAGGCGAAATTAATTCAAATCACGTGAACAGTAATTTCTTAATAAATTTTTCTTACAATAAATGTACCTTACGATTCTAATATTAAATCTTGTATTAATTTAATATTATTCTTCATCGTCCGTATAACGTCTTCGAATTGAATTTAAAATATACAGTCTCGTGTTTTCAAGGTACTGTTAACATATTTTCATTCTATCGGACGGACAATTCCGGGACTTGCAAATGAGAAATGCTCGGCGCGGAGATACAATTTCCGATTCAACGAGCCCAAAATTCACCGACCTCGTTTTCTCTTGTTTCCGTAAAAGACAGAATTTTTCATCAGCTGTCACCGTGAAAAAAACGTCAACAATATCAAGGCTGACGCGTGTAGACACGTTCTAACATCGATCGCGTTTACGTACGTTTTAACAATAAAATGTTGAAGAAAGCGTAGGTAGTTTGCTCTTTGAAAGTCGAATTATCGTATTAATATATATTATCGTATCAAGGGATGTAGAAAAATTTTTTAGTCAAATGGTGGCATATTAAAATGATCAAAGCTTGCGGATTTAATGAATTCACCACGAAATTGAATTTGCAGAAATTATAAATGCTCTGTCTAATGCTGC